TGGTTCCTTCCTGGTCCATAAACATAGTCCATCTTCCTCCCCTTAAAAGTTTGGAGGATTATATAAATTCAGAACTATTCAAAATCCTAATGCAGCAAAATCCCTGCAAAATTTCACAAAAAAATAAAAATCAATGATGCCTTTGAGTGTGAAATGAAAGACTATCAACCATAAGAATAAGTGAAGCTAAGACAAGTACTATCCACAAACATAAATTAAACTACTCATAAATTCTTCCCAAACGAAGGCTAAAAAAGGTGCTATGTTCATCTCTCAATCACGAACAAAGTCTTCCAGGAACTTGAACGATGTTCAAGAAAAAACTAGAAGTCAAAACATAATAGTACACAAAAGCAGAATGAGGTTTTTTTTTCCTTTCTTCTCCAGTTACTAAACAATATATAAATATGAAAATGATAGCACCGATGCTCATCTTAGGTTAAACCCGGGTGATATGACCTATCAATTCAATGGTGAATGAACTTATGGTGGGCCTCAACATTTATATTAAATTTTTTATTAACCAATGAATTTATATGATATGTTATCAGTGTTTAGAAGAAGAAGAATACCGATGCTCATTAGATTATTCATATATAGCAGTCATTTTCAATACTGCGTACCAAACATATATTTCATGTTGTCATTTTCTACTTATAATTTTTCTTACAATGAAATTTTTTTATTCTTTTAAAAAAAAAAAAAGAAAAAAGGAATATATATATATATATATATAACAGGCTTCATAATCGGATGACGGATTTTAGTGAGACAAATATCGAGCAAGAGACTGTGAGTTGATCAAAAGACAAACCCAAAGTATGTACACACACACACACCACAAGAAAAACAGATGATCAAAAACATAAACTTCTGCTAATTTTTCTGTGGAACACAGCAGTTTCAAGAATCATCAATCAAGTAATTGTTAAAGAACAAACAAAATTTCCAGAACGATTCAAAAGATAAATGAATACACGAGCCCTCTCTCTAGTTTAAACTTTTAGACGATGGTTAACACAGTATCATGATGCACAAAAGACCAGATTTGAGTTGTCAGCTTTGATCAAAAAAGGAATTCAGTTTACACGGAGGGAAGTCGGGTCGAAGAAAAAACTTACTTTTAGACCAGATAGAGAAGAAAAATGATACCTTTGTGGAATCAGAAGAAACAGCGACTTCCCCGAAAGCTCTTCTGCAGGGAGAAGATGAAAAAGCCAAATGGGACTTGTCCGAATTTTAATAGAAAGCGGGAGACCAATCAGGGCTCAGTGTGGGTTCCACTTTGGGATCTTACGTGGCAGCTAAGAGCTCGACCAATGTGAATCCTGCAGCTAAGAATGGGTGACTCAGAAATTAATTAAATAAATTATACTTTTGCACTTGTGCCATTTCTTTATGGAAATTCTCTTTTGACCCACCATAGTTTGCTATGTATGCTTTTAGACCCACATAGTCCGTCTTTGTAATCATAATAGTGCCATATTCTCAACGAACTTGTGAAGCGGACAATTTCGACTTCTGAATAGACGTCGACTTTTTCCATTAATTAAAGAACAGTAAGCCACAGGGAAAAAAAATTCAACAAATATTTATAAGTTTATAACCTTGATATTTTCGAACAAAGAAATACAAAAATGAGCGCATTATAATTGAAGTAATCAAAGCAATACAAGTTGGAATAGAAAACTAATATTTTTAGTAAATATAGCCCTTGTTTTAGAATCACACATTTTTCAATAAAATAATATTACACGTAAACCCAAAAATTTTCCTTATTTTTTAACCACACAATCTCCGTCGTAACATTATCACAAAATGCATTTCTTTTGCAAAAAATAGGGCTCAAACAAACCCATAATTGTGTTTGTGATAAAAGTTAATGCATGATAAACTAAATATGTCCGTGACTAAGGATGTGTCAATACTAAATACTGGATAGATGCAATAGACAATGTTTAATACCATATCGTTTATAATTTGAAACCTAAATTAAGAAATAAAACATCCCCTTTATCGTACTTTCAAAATAACGTCACAAGGACTCAATTGAAATTATTTGGGTTGTTTCGTGGGACTGTTGCAAAATAGATAGAAATGGGAAGGCATAACTGCAAATACAACTAATAAGTCTACTAGGAAAAATTGATTGCTTAATACACAGCATCCATAAAGTTAGAAATGCACAAGGTTAGAAGACGATACATGAGAGAGATAAGATGATAAATGCTATCAACCACACGCTGTCGAATTGGATTCCCTTTTGGTTTTGGAGGAAATGGTGGAAAATACCCGGTTGACCCGGTCACTTTTCCACAATAGCCGTTAACCAAGTAAAAAAAGAAAAAAAAGGGAAAAACTAAAAAAAACTTAAAAGTCCAGCATTTTCCCATTTTTACCCTCACATGTGACTGTGAAGAGAGTTGAGAAAGAAAAAAAGTATGTTTTCGAAATTTTTGTTGATTATCTTCGAAG